TTATCCTATTCATCAAACTTTCAGTATTTTGTTCCTTGTCCTTACTAGGTGATCTTAAATTTGTCAGCGTATTTTCTTTGGTTTTACAGAATTGTACAACCACATGTAGACATCAGACATGGTGTGAGGATCTAGAAACCCAGTTTCAAATGAACCTCAAAACAAGTTCTCCTATTTGTGAAATTTACCTTATTTATTTCCACTTAAGTGCATAACAATGAAGTGGCATAAAGACTGACCATTCCTTCCTTGAGTCAGAGAATTAGAATTATTATTTATCTAGGAGATTAGGTAAAAACCATTAAATACTCAACTTCTGAGTCTTCTTTTTAAAAGAAGCTTTTAATTACTTAAATGATTAGGATGAGGAAATGGAAATTTGGCTTTCACTATTATCACCAGAGTTAACCAAATCATTCATTCCTTTCTCCTGTACTGAATGTCTAACATACTGTCAGGCCCTTGTTTGGGCAGTGGAAATAGAAAGATGAAGGACTTAGGGAATTCACAGTTTGGAAGTGTAGTGGCCAGGTTTAACCTTGGTGAGACCAGAGTGTTCCTGGTTCTTTTGACATGAATAGGTAGATGTGGAAGCCGGACTTTGTTTTAAACCTCATAAATCCCACTTGTTTTAGGGACTGAATACATGTGTTCTTGGGTCACAAGTAAAACTGTGAGGAAAACGGACTCTTTCTGGCCTGGTCGCTTTTCTGGAATCTGCTGTTTAGGAATGTACAAACTTGTTCTTTCAGTGAGAAATATTCTCTTTTAAAATGATAATTATTCTAGTTATCTAGAAGAGTTTGGAAAAAGTTCTGTATATCTTCTTTTTTGGTGGGTATTCACACTAACCTCCATACTTCTTTGCCATTTGTAATTATGGGCAGCTTTTGGTATTGTAATTTTTATTCTGATTTATATAGCCCCTTGTGGTTTTTAAAACAAGTCCAGGTATCTCAGGAGATGCAGAACGTTACTGAATTGTATGTTTTTGTTTTCTTTAGTGGAATTCTTTGAACAGTAACCTGATAACTTGAGACTCAAAATGACATTGTTTCTTCTAGATAAATTAGCTGTTGTCAGTTTTATGTAGTTAATGTTGTTCATCTGTGCTGTATATTATCTTTTAGAACTAAAAATTTGGACCTTTAATATTTTCATATAAAACTTATTTCTTGATCATCTTCTTTTCATTGCATTTGATAGGAAACTGATATTTGTGCCTTTCCACCATCATCTTGGTTTAATGACTTTATTGTAATACAGTTAAATTCTCTACTCAGGGTCCAGGCCCATCAACAAGCTTAGGTAACCATATATATTTTCATATCTGTGTGACCTGAACCTCATCTGAAATGTCGGAAGAAAGCCCTATTCAGTGTAGCTTCAGGGTTAAAAATATTACTGTATTACAACTCTTTGAGAATGTTCATTCAGCATTTATAGTATTTACTCAGTTTTCCAGCCTGAAATAAGTACAATGGTCTTAAGATGAATTGTTTCAAAGTGAAGTACAGTATATTGTTAGAGTTAATTTTTAAACAATTAGGCCAGAAATGAGGGCAACCATCATATCTTAAATCTTCTGTATTTTTCAGTTTCGAATGCTGTGCTGAGTGCATAAAAATACTAAGCTAACAAACCTTGATTGATAAAGAACTCACTGACAATGTGATTTAAATCATGTATGGTCTTGAGTCAGTTTTTACTGCTTGGGGTTCTTAAGACTTAAGTGTTGTGCTTGTCCCAGTGAAAGAAGAATGTTGGCCTCATATTCATTTCTACAGTGGGAGAACAGTCTCTGTGAGCATATTCTGCTGTGATGCCAGTATCATGCTTGTGCTCAGTTGTGTCTGACTCTGTGATATCCCATAGACTGCAGTCTGCCAGACTTCTCTGTCCATGGGATTTCCCAGGAGAGAGTACTGGAGTGGGTTGCCATTTCCTTCTCCAGTAATGCCAGTTTACTGAGATATTAATGATCATTAAATTTGTCTTATATACCTCTAGTAGAACCATAATATTTCCTGTTTAACTTTGTCAGTTACAATCAGGAGAATCAGTTTTTAATATGATAGTTCCAAACCTATTCTTTCTTCATGTATTCTTTAAAAGAGGAAAAACCACATCCTTTTTATTTTTGGATAATGCTTTTAAAATATTTTATAACTTTCACTTTGGCTGCTCTGGTTGTCTAACATGACAACTACTATTAATGAGTTTGTTCACTCTTACTTGTGCTAATGCAAGTCAGAAAAAATTTACTGCTCCTTGTGTAGTTCACTTTAAAATATGGTTCATAATAACTGTTGTTAAATTGCCCACAACCTTCTTATAAACCAAAGTAGTTGGTTTAACTGTGTACTGTCTCTGAAATGATTTGCAAAAAACCTTTTGTAATCAAATTGATTTGAAATAGGGTGTCCTAATGCCTTCCATATAGTAATTTAGCTTTGTCTTGGAATATTCCATTAGCACTGGTAGTTTTTATTTTAAATTGTGACATGGATTGTTAAGCTGGAGAATCAATCCAGCAGGAATTGTTGGCATATACTAATTATTAAGATTCAAAGAATTTTTTAATTTTAATATTTGAAGGCATAATTTGTTGGAACTAAAAAAATTCTTTTCAAAACAGAATTGCCATACTTTAAAAATAATTTTGACTAAAAATATTTAAATACATTTGAAAAAGGACAGTGCAACTTTACTTTTTTAGGAGTTGCTTTTTGACCATCTCATCCTACCTGGAGCAACAGAAATAATGCCTGTGAAATAAAGCCTATACGCTTTACTCCTAAAGACCTGTTCAGAATTTATGTATTCCTCTTTTTGTTATTGTTTTATCTTTTTAAACACACAACCATATTTCATTACCTGGCTTCTCAGAACTGATTAGAAATAGTAAGCTGGAAAGCTGTAAAAGAAGTCAAGTGCATGTTGCAGGAAACCACAGAAAATGGCTGATGGCAAGGGAAAATGGTAGAGTGTAAATCTAGAGAAGGCAGATACAAGAACTCAGAAAAAGCATAATATAAAACCTCTAAGCAAAGAGACAAACATCTTTTCATATTGACAGCCACATACAATGATTTACATTTATTTCGATAACTCAGTGCTCAAGATAAAATTGAGACTGTTTCCTTGTTGAAAAATCCTGACATTTAAAAAGAATTTTAGCCTGCAATAACAAATACTGCATTTGGGAACTTTTAAGGAATAGAGCCAAATTAATGTTTGGGTCACTGTTTGGGTAGCTCACTGCAGGACTTTTGTTTATATGGTGCCAAGATAAGGGTTTCCACAGGTGTCTTATATAAGTGGCAAATGTAAATTGATCCTGTTTCTGCTGAAGTAGTGCCCTCAAGTGGAATTAAGACAAACATTATAGAAAAAGAGAAAACCACTTGATGCTACGTGCCCGTACTAAATGTTGTTCATATAGTTCAGTGATGTTGATTTGAAGAACAGCAAAGCCCTTTACCCTGTCTTGGGCAGTCTTCATGCCTCATTCTAGCTTGTAGAGGGTCTTTTTATTAATGAAAACTTTATATCCTAGAAAAACCTCCTTAACTACCGATGTGTTATAAAAGAAATATTATTATGTGTGTAGATTTGCCAGGTTATGTATTTAATCATTAAGTTAAATGGCTAAACTTAAAATTTGGTTCTTTAGTTTTAGGAATATTTATTTAACTCCAAGAATAAAATAGATGAATATGATATTGCTGTCACCTGCTGCTGTTATCGGGAATAATGGAAATGGATATCACCTGCTCATAGGAGGATGGAATAAATACTGTATTTAGAAACCAAATAGCCACATGCATGTGACAGAGAATACCTAAGAACCATTGTTTTCAGTAAGATAATGAATTAACATAATGAATTAAAGTCTTTACTTGAATTGATGAAACTGTATAGTTTTAAGCCTGTGATTCAAGTAAGGTTGAGAAGGCTATTTTAATTGTGAAAGATTAGTATCCTTGTAAAAATTTCAAATGAAAATTTGAAAGTGAAAAAGAAACAATCTTTTCTTCCTAGTCTGCATAGTTAAACTTGTGGTATAAAAACATTTTATGCTTGATACTATACTGCAGTTATATTTCTTCCTTATGTAGTAGTCCAAGTTTTGATGGCTACAAAATTGACTTTTAAGACATTGTGAATATAAGCAGATTTATAATATCTGATGTTTATGATTGAGAGAGATTAAATGATAGCTATGATTAATATGATTAACATTTGCCTATTAAGGACAAAATGTGTAAGATTGAGAAAATGAAGCTGAGTTAGATAAAATGTTCCATTATCAAAATATGGCACACAGATAAATGAATTGTGGTTGAAGTTTCAGAATGTGATTTGATGATATTTTTATTGATAAAAATGTTCAACATAATAATTGTGATGGGTAACTTTTTACTTAAACTACTTGTATAGAAATAATAGCCTTTTTGATTTGTGTGTTTTGCCCAAATACAGCAGCTTATTCATTTAAGTTAGGCAGAGTCTATTAATTTTACTTTTTAAAGTTTAAAAATGTCAGAATATTTAATAAGATTATATTTTACTAGAATCTGAGTTCATAAATTTCAGTGCCTTGGAAACAAACATTATTGTATTGTCTTTGGAGATAATTTACAATTGAATCTCCTTTATTAAATATGCAAGATTACAGTAGGTACAAGTAATAATGTATGTCTTTTAACCTCTTAAGGTATTTTTGAAAATATATCATTATGTGTATGTGTGTGTTTTTACTAGCTGAATGAAGAATTTAAAAAGTCTTTGACCTTAATTTTAGCTCATGTAGAATGAAGTGTAAAGTTTCTCTTTGCTTGTCCTCCAGGCATTTTGATTTGCTGTCTTTTTACAGCATGGACACCAAATTGCTAAAAACATGTTTTGGGACTGCCAATGAATTTATCTTTTGTGGTTTTACTACACACTTAGTAATTCCCTTTTTTTTGAATTAATATTTTGGAGTTAATATCACAATGAGTTCAGGCTTATGGAGCCAAGAAAAAGTTACTTCACCCTACTGGGAAGAGCGGATTTTTTATTTGCTTCTTCAAGAATGCAGTGTTACAGACAAACAAACACAAAAACTCCTTAAAGTACCAAAGGGAAGTATAGGACAGTATATCCAAGACCGTTCTGTGGGGCTTTCGAGGATTCCTTCTGCCAAAGGCAAGAAAAATCAGATTGGATTAAAAATTCTAGAGCAACCACATGCAGTTCTGTTTGTTGATGAAAAGGATGTTGTAGAAATAAATGAGAAATTCACAGAGTTACTTTTGGCAATTACCAATTGTGAAGAGAGGTTCAGCTTGTTTAAAAACAGAAACAGACTAAGTAAAGGCCTCCAAATAGATGTGGGCTGCCCTGTGAAAGTCCAACTGAGATCTGGGGAAGAAAAGTTTCCTGGAGTTGTGCGCTTCAGAGGACCTTTATTAGCAGAGAGGACAGTGTCGGGAATATTCTTTGGAGTAGAATTACTGGTAAGTTTGATAAGTCATTTTAGTGGGCTGTGTATTTATGTGTGTGTGTGTCTGTTTCTGTGTGCACATACATTTTTCTTTTTCCTTTTTTGAATGCAAAATAAGTTTTCCCAGAATTCTATATTTTTTAATGTTTGTAATCCTAGGGATTTACTTTCTAATGGTAGATTGAGATGATACAAAGATGATGCTTCGAAAACTGAAAAACTACGTATAGGAAGAAATGTACAAATAGATCATGTATTTATTGAAGACTTTCATATCTTAGAGATTTTACATTGAATGTTAAAAATGAACTCAGCAATTGTAAACAAATTACTTAAAATTGTTAATTATCCTGTGACATTATCATCTGTAGGTTTCTTAGCTTAAAGTATACTCTTAAGTAACAAGATTTGGATATATAAGTTGCAGCAATTTGAACTGGCTTATAGCTGTCCCTGATAATATATGTGAAAATCATGTTGTTGTTTCCACTGAAAAGAAAACCAAGAACTCTGTGATAATGTTTCCAAAATTAATATTCTTAAGAATTTAAATATTAGTTACATTTTGACATTCTTGCAAATATAATTTCATGCTTCATTTGCTTTTTAAGTTTTTAAAGCAGCAATAGTAAAACAATTGGAGTATTGAATCCCAGCTATGCCATTTACTAGCTGAGTTACTGGGTTATTTAACCAAATTGCTTTCTAAATCTGCATCCTCATCTGTGAAATAGTAATATTAATACACAACTTGCAGTGTTTTTGTGATATATTGATTCAGGATTTAACATGGTGACTGGCACATAGTACGTGCTCAATAAATGGAGATAACATTACTGTTAAAGTAAGTTTTTCTTTTTATGACAAAATTTTTGTTAAAACCACAATGTGAAATCCAGCCCAAGCTCTCCTACAGTAGAATTATGATTTAAAATTATCATGTAATTTTATTTCAGCATCAGATACAGTTTTTTCCTTATTTTTTGAACACCCTATATTCAATGGCAATTGCTAATAATTATATTTCTTATATGTGTCACTTAGAATTTGTTCAGTGATTTCTCTGAAGTCTGCAGAGTGCATCTTTTTTCTTAGGGATCATCTTTCTCTATCAGTCACTGATTTTTTTTTCTCTCATTAAAAAACTAGGAAGAAGGTCGTGGCCAAGGATTCACTGATGGGGTATATCAAGGGAAGCAGCTTTTTCAGTGTGATGAAGATTGTGGAGTATTTGTTGCGTTGGACAAGCTAGAACTCATAGAAGATGACGACACTGGATTGGAAAGTGATTATGCAGGTCCAGTGGATACAATGCAAGTTGAACTTCCCCCCTTGGAAATAAACTCCAGAGTTTCTTTGAAGCTTGGAGAAACTATAGAATCTGGAACGGTTATATTCTGTGATGTTTTGCCAGGCAAAGAAAGCTTAGGATATTTTGTTGGTGTGGACATGGTAAGAAATTTTGAATTTTATTGTCTTTGTTGTATGTATCTGTTAGTTTTGTAACCAATTTAGGTACAGAGTAAACACTTTGAATTCTTAAAATGGACTAATTTGTAGTAATTTAAAGAGCATGTTCTAACTCATCTTTAGTAAAGGAATGTTGATATGGGACAGGAGTCTAGTTGTAGAATTATAGTTACTCATTTTTCCAGTCTGAATAAATGGAAATAATGTTTTCAGTCTTTAAATTTGCTGTGTAATAAACAGAAAAAAACCCCCACCAGAATATATTGCATTATGTGTTAGTTTTCTTTATTTTGAAAAGGCTTTTTTTTTTTTTTGTAATCTGTGTTTCTCTTTTTGTAATGTTTTGCTGAATTTTATTGACTGATCTGATTTTAATGATTTATGTGTAAAAATCACTTATGGAAAATGCCTGAATAGAGGAACAGCACATTGCTTTAGAGGAAAAAACAATTCAGTGCCTTCATAGGGTGTATTTCACTCAAAAAGTTTTTTTTTTTATTGTGGTAAAATTTATGTAACATAAAATTTACCAATTTATCCATTTTAAAGTGACATTAAGGACATTCACATTATTGTGCACCCATCACCGCTATTCATCTCCAGAACATTTTCTTCAACCCAAAATGAAACTCTGTACCTATTAAACAATAACACCCTATTACTCACTCCTTTCAGCTTGTGTTCTTCTGACAACCAGAATTCTTTCTGTCTTTGTGTATTTGCTTATTCCCTGTGCCTCATATAAGTGGAATCATACAGTATTTGTCTTTTTGTTTGTGTCACTCATTGTTAGTGTTACCTTACAGTCATAAGTGTTAATAATGAATACATCTCAATATGGCAGATTGGACAGTACCTGTGGGATTAAGAGGAGGAGAAAAAGGCTTGAGAACATTTTTTATCATAGATTGAAAATATGGACAAGAATTTGTTAGGTATAATGAAGAAAATTCATATGGCATTATTAAACACCAGCAAGAATTGGGAGAGGTTGTAATAGACTCTTGTACTCATGGTGCTTTTAGTGATTATTTTTATCTATTCAGTTATACTTTGGGTAGGATATGAATGCTGTAGTGTAAGTTTCTCTTACACTTTGCTCGGAAATCCTAGGAAGTTCTATTTGATACCCATTAGTTAGGCAAACCTCACTCTGTCATTTAGACAAACAGTTACTGAACATTTACCGTGTGAAAAGTTAGAGCCAGAGTTAAATACGTAGGTCCCTCGGGATAGCTAGAAATAAAACACATTTTAAACCATTATTCTTTAAATATTTAGAACTTGTTCATTGGAGTTCGTTTTCTTTTGCTTTAGGTCATTTAGGCCTCAAACTTGGCAAAAGCCATTTAGGCCTTCCTCTCCTTAGATCGCAGTCTAGGAAGCATCTTGTTTACTTGGGGTGTCTGCCAAGCCGTTGCACCACCAACTTCTCCCCCTGTCTCTGTCTGTCTTCCAGTTGGCTTGTGCAAGCATTCGTTCCAGACCCCTCTAGTGCAGTCCTTGAAAGGAAAGTTCTGGCTAATGCAGTAGTGTTCATCTCCTATTTCTGATGCCATTTAGAATGCTGTCCACATTGGTGCTCAGGGCAATTGTCTGACTGTATTATCTTCTTAATCTAACTCCATGAACAGCACTGGACAAGTTGGTGCTACACTGGAATATAAAGTTATTAATATAAAGATCTCTAGTTTGGAGAGAATTCTTGCATACCTATAAAATGACAAAAGAACAACTGAAAAATTAGGCTTTCTGTCTATAGAAAATAATTCCTGTCTATATAGGAATTCAAATTAATCATTTACGTAAGTGCTCAGGGAATGTGAAGGAATGATTAGAGCAAGCTAGGGTTAATTAGGGACAGCTTTCTGTTTGAAACAGTGTATGATTACTGCATCTACCAGTGCAGATATATGTTATATCGACTATTTATTGTCCAGTCAAGTATGATGAACACTTTGATCCCTTGCTCACCAGGTGGGTTTCTATGACTTGATTATTCTTGGATCTCATTTTTTAGAGGATCCTCTTGTGAAAAATATGCTTTCATATTTATGTTTTATTGAGGAGAATTTTAAAGTTTATTCTGTTAATTTCTAGGATAATCCTATTGGCAACTGGGATGGAAGATTTGATGGAGTGCAGCTTTGTAGTTTTGCAAGTGTTGAAAGTACACTTCTCTTGCATATCAATGACATCATCCCAGGTATGTTTTCTTTGTGTTATATATATTGTTAAGGCAGAGCTTCTAAGACATATTTAGTTCTGAGGATAGAAATATAAGCTTCAAGATGCATTTTTGGAACTTGACTTTTATATTATGGAATTGTTATTACATAGAATATCTTTCTTTACCCCCAAATAAAAATACTTAAAGATTTTCATTTCTAAAAGTATGTGAGTGTGGGGTACCTTTTATTTGTTACCATTCACTTTTTCATTACTTGTCTATTTTAACCCTTTCTGATAATTGCAAGAGTCAGAAAATATAAAAAACTGCTACCTGTTTGAGTGAGAGCTTGGTTTCAACTAGAAGCCTTTTAGTAGAAGTTGGTCATTTTAATGTAATCTAATATATTGTGGAGAGGATTCTTGATGGATACCTCATGAGATCTCTTCCAGTTTCAAGGTGGTATAATTGATATGACTTCGTGACTCTGTAATTAGAAACAGATCACTCAACTTTTACACCTTAGAAATAATCTTAAGCAACCTTTATTTTACCTCAAACAAGTAGCACCTAATGGCTGCTGTCAACTAATTGATAAATTCTTATAGTTAGTAGCATCAGCATCACCTTCTCCCTGCTCTTAGTAGAATTCCAGTTAGAAGCTAGTCTACTGGCAGTATAATCATGAAACATACAGAGGCAATCCAAGTTGGCGATTCTCATTGAATATTATGCAACTATGAATTGTCAGAAAGCCTGCATTTAATAGCCACAAATTATGAATTTCTTAATTAGATGACTTCTACATTCTTGACAAAGTTATAAGGTAGGTCTTAATTATCCCCATTTTGCTGATGAAAAAAACTGGGGCTTAGATAGGGATAAGATTCGCTAGGATCAACTAAGATCCTACTTGATTTTGGTAGAGCCAGAATTCAAATCCAGGCTTGTCTGATTAGAAAGCTCTACCCTTTTCAGTACCTCCTCATCCCAAGTCCTGTGTGTTGACTTGGGATATGAAAACCTGTATAGAAGAACATACACGTCAGCCTCACGTGTATACTTGGGAATATTGTTTCTATGGAGATGTATTTTGTCTCTGAGTCTTTAAAAGCTGACTTTTACTATATCAAGAATCACAACTGAACAAAATGGTTTGGTTTTTTTGGCTACCAGTGTTATTGCTGATTTTGACATAGGACACTTTTTAGTACCCCACAGGTCATTTCAGGGCCTCAGTTTCTTTTTTTGTAAAAATGAAAGGGTTAATTAATATTAGATGATTCTTGAGATTCCTTCTAGCCTGTATTCTTTGCCGTTCCAAATTCCCTGTTGACTTGGCAAGTTATAAATGCTTGTTTTGCTGAGTTAGGAAATGCTTTCTACGTTAGCTTTTAGCCTTGCAGCAAGAATACATTAATTTAGTTGGAGAAATGAGATTCAAATGATAACTTTGTTTCAATTTTGCTTTGTAAAAGTCTGACATACTTTATTTTCCTTGATTTCTTTAAAATCAGGTTTTAATTTCTTACACGTTGGGTTCTTAGGTATTTCTTTGCTTCCTTTGGAAATGAATGCTTTGTATTCAAGGGGAAGCATACATGTGCTTGATATTTTATCTAGTAATATTTAATTTACGTTTTCATGCCTGCTTACGGAGAAACATAGTTTGTGATATTATAAGTTGAAATACCTTTTGATGTTACAATAAATGTTTATTGTCTAAAAAGCAGTTTTCCAAAGGCTTGTTCCTTCATCAAATATTATTAAACCCTTACTTATGGTTTTTTTTTTTTTGGTGTTGAGGATGTAGTAGGAAACAAAACAAATAAAAGTTCTTTTGAAATGGAGCTTTTATTCTAGAGAGTGAAGACAGATAATGAATGAGATATATGGTCAATTAGGGGCTTCCCAGGTGGCTTAGTGGTAAAGAATCCACCTGCAAATGCAGGAGATGCTGGAGACGTGGGTTCCATCACTGGGTCAGGAAGATCCCCTGGAGAAGGAAATGGCAACCCACTCCAGTATTCTTGCCTGGGAAATCCCATGGACAGAGGAGCCTGGCGGGCTACAGTCCATGGGGTCACAAAGTTTCGGACACGACTTATCGACTAAATAACCATAGTGGTCAATTGGATGCTGATTGAGTGGAGAATGGTGAGCAAGGTAAGGGGAAAGGGTGTGCTGGGGTGTGAAGGGTGGGATTTTGTTTTTACTTCATGTAGAGTAGTCCATTGGACATGGGGTAGCTCTTCACGGCTGCTCCAGCAAAGGGCAGCTGCTGCTCCTTACCTTGGACATGGGGTATCTCCTCGCAGCCTCTGCTTCTGACCTTGGACCAAAGAAAAGCAAGGAGAGATAAGAAAGCCTTCCTCAGCAATCAATGCAAGAAATAGAGGAAAATAATAGAATGGGAAAGACTAGAGATCTCTTCAGGAAAATTGAAGATACCAAAGGAACATTTCATGCAAAGATGGGCTCAATAAAGGACAGAAATGGTATGGACCTAACAGAAGTAGAAGATATTAAGAAGAGGTGGCAAGAATACACAGAAGAACTGTACAAAAAAAATCTTCACGACTCAGATAATCACGATGGTGTGATCACTCACCTAGAGCCAGACATCCTGGAATGTGAAGTCAAGTGGGCCTTAGGAAGCATCACTATGAACAAAGCTAGTGGAGGTGATGGAATTCCAGTTGAGCTATTTCAAATCCTGAAAGATGATGCTGTTAAAGTGCTGCACTTAATATGCCAGCAAATTTGGAAAACTCAGCAGTGGCCACAGGACTGGAAAAGGTCAGTTTTCATTCTAATCTCAAAGAAAGGCAATGCAAAAGAATGCTCAAACTACCGCACAATTGCACTCATCTCACACGCTAGCAAAGTAATGCTCAAAATTCTCCAAGCCAGCCTTTAGCAAATACGTGAACCAAGTACTTCCAGATGTTCGAGTTTTAGAAAAGGCAGAGGATCCAGAGATCAAATTACCAGCATCTGCTGGATCATGGAAAAAGCCAAAGAGTTCCAGAAAAACCTCTATTTCTGCTTTATTGACTATGCCAAAGCCTTTGACTGTGTGATCACAACAAGCTGTGGAAAATTCTGAAAGAGATGGGAATACCAGACCACCTGACCTGCCTCTTGAGAAACCTGTATGCAGGTCAGGAAACAACAGTTAGCACTGGACATGGAACAACAGACTGGTTCCAAATAGGAAAAGGAGTATGTCAAGGCTGTATATTGTCACCCTGCTTATTTAACTTATATGCAGAGTACATCATGAGAAACGCTGGGCTGGATGAAGCACAAGCTGGAATCAAGATTGCCAGGAGAAATGTCAATAACCTCAGATATGCAGATGACACCACCCTTACGGCAGAAAGTGAATAAGAACTAAAGAGCCTCTTGATGAAAGTGAAAGAGGAGAGTGAAAAAGTTGGCTTAAAGCTCAACATTCAGAAAACTGAGACCATGGCATCTGATCCCATCACTTCATGGCAAATAGATGGGCAAACACTGGAAATAGTGGCTGACTTTATTTTTCTGGGCTCCAAAATCACTGCAGATGGTGACTGCAGCCATGAAATTAAAAGACGCTTACTCCTTGGAAGGAAAGTTATGACAAACCTAGACAGCATATTAAAAAGCAGAGGCATTACTTTGCCAACAAAGGTCTGTCTAGTCAAGGCTATGGGTTTTCCAGTGGTCACATATGGATGTGAGAGTTGGACTATAAAGAAAGCTGAGCACCAAAGAATTGATGCTTTTGAACTGTGGTGTTGGAGAAGACTCTTGAGAGTGCCTTGGACAGCAAGGAGATCCAACCAGTCCATCCTAAAGGAGATCAATCCTGGGTGTTCATTGGAAGGACTGATGTTGAAGCTGAAACTCCAATACTTGGACCATCTGATACGAAGAGCTGACTCATTTGAAAAGACCCTGATGGTGGGAAAGATTGAAGGCAGGAGGAGAAGGGGATGACAGAGGATGAGATGGTTGGATGGCATCACTGACTCAACTCAGTGGACATTAGTTTGGGTAAACTCTGGGAGTTGGTGATGGACAGAGAACCCTGGTGTGTGCAGTCCATGGGTCACAAAGAGTCAGACATGACTGAGTGACTGAACTGAACTGAACTGAACTGAGAGTAGTCCCAGTGAGCCTGTCTAAAGTGTTGACATTTGAGCTCTTAACATGAAGGAGATTTGAGGGCTTGGCCAGCTCGAGGAACAGCAAGGGGTTCATTGTAGCTTGAGTGAGGGACAGTGATGGGAGAGGTAGTGAAGCTGGACCATGCAGGGCCAAGTGGGCTGGTGTATGGAATCTTGGCTTTACTCTAGGGAGTTGGGGAGCTAACGTGGATTTTGCACGAAGGACAACTTACGTAACTTCTATTTAAAAATGACAGCCCTGGCTGCAAGTTAGAAGGCAGAAACAGGGAAATCAGGAGGGGGACTGTTGCAATTATCCATATGAGAGACAGAAGGTGGTGGCTTGGATTGGATTGGTGTGTAATAGCTTGTTTAATTTAGCCTGTTTTTAAACTTTGGATAAATAGAATCATAGTGATTGTATTCTCTAATGATTGCATTATTAAAGTATATTTTGAGATTCTTTCTGGTGAATGATGGTATTAGTAGGCTGTTTACCCTTACTGCTTCATAGTATATTTCATTGTGTGAATACTTCATGATTTAATAACCCATTCTAATGTCACTAGTTGTTTGGATTTTGAATATTTCCATATCCTCTTCAACACTTGGTACCCATTAAAATTTTTGCCAATCTGATGCCTTTGAGAAATGGTACCTCAGGGTGGTTTTAATCGTAGTTCATCACAAGTAGAGTTGAATAATTTTGATATGTTTATGGAAAATTTATGTGCTCTATTAAATACCTGGTTGTGTCTTTCCTCGGTTTTCTGTTGATTTGTCTGTTTATTGATTTGTGAGTTCTTTATTTTAAAATTTTAATAAAATATTTTTTCAACATTTATTATGCAATTTCAAACATAGAAAAGTTGGAAGATTTTC